TATTTGATCAAAGTTAAAATAGATATGTTGTTATCTCTGGTAACCCTTAATGGACTTTTGCAGACATCAGGACTGAAATGATGAGGCTTTAAGGATTTGCTTATAGATAGGGGATATGGGAAGAGATCATTTGTTGTATTTTAAGAGAAGGTGATAACTTACTAAAATTGCTTATACTTGTGATGAAGATGAAAATAATTTCTTTATATATTTTTCTTTTTCTTTACTATAATCTTATTTTTTTCTTTCTTTTCTATTTTTCTTTTTTTCTTTTCTGCACCTTCTATTTTTTATTTTTATTTTTCAGTTTGTATTTGTTTTTATTGTTGTAATTGTAATTTTTAATAAAATTACTATTAAAAAAAAAGAAATTGCTTGCTTTTTTTCTCCCTCCCCTCTCACAGAATGGAGAGATTGGAGAGAAAGAGATTTCAACAGAGTACTGTAAGCTGTTTGCGTAGTGCTCCTGTGGTTCCCAGCCCTGGGCTGCCAGCACAATTGCACTGCTTTCAATGTGTAGAACAGCAAACAGCTTACTCTCTTGCTATCCCTTCCTCTCCAATCTCTCTGCTCTGTAAGGTGGGGGGAACCACCAGTCAGGCACAGGACAACATGTACTGACTGTAATGGTGATCACTTGACTGAGGGATGCTACAAAGATCATAAATGGGCCATAAAGTTATTTTTTCAGCACCATCATAACTTCAAACGGTCACTGAATGAATGATTGGTAAATGAGGACTACCTGTAGGGCTACACTTTTATTTATAGTAATATTTATAGACTGCTCTGATCAGGAGGACTCTGGGCAGTGCACAAGGGAAAACATTATAAACAGTACCATTAAAAATAATATAATAAAACCATGAACAAAAATGATTGTTTGAAGTTTGCATTCCTATATATCTTTTCCTATCCCCATATTCCAGGAACACATAATCTGTTGGCTGTATCTGGATCAAAATACATCTTCAGGAGCCCTTCTATTTTGCTACTGAATTACAGTGGCAACAAACAATTATCTGACTGTCCCCCAACTTTATCCAGCTCTTCCTGATCTAAGTGTTGTAAGAAGGTTTTCCTCTCATCTTTTTAATGAATATGCTTTATTTTTTACTGAATAATAAAAATTATATCTGATGCTTTATACATATATGGTTAGATACAGTAATAATGTTCTGCTGCTTAATGATCAAATCACTTCAGTGTATTATTCGGTTATTATTCTAACAATCTTGCAAGATTGGTATTATTTCATTACTAGGGATTTTATTTTCCTCTTCTGTAGACATCAGTTTTGCAGATGGGGAGGCCAAGAAAGAGTGAATTACCAAAGCTAATTAATATGTGGATGGTTTAGACCACAGATTTCCCAATTCGCCACTGTGAACTAAAACATCTCAAGATGCTATACTTTGGAACTGGGAAAAAATGGTTTGAAAACAACAGCTTAATCCATACTTCAGCCTGTTTTTTTTCTTAAGTAGGACAGTTGGCTATACAAAGAAAGTTACAATTCTTTCCTTATGCTGTCTTAATCCTTTTAGATTCACTGAGTACTCAAGCAAATGGTTTCATGGAAAGAAATGAAAGTTCCAATCCATCTAATTCATACAGGAAGCTACAGACTTCAATTGAGAAGAGCTGTAGCATGCACTGTAAAGCAGCAAGACGAAGCTCTTTGATGGTCAATTGTCTACTCCTAAATAAATATGTAGCTCACAAGCACTTCAGAGCAAACAAGAGTTTTCAAAAATAAGTATAGCAAACAAAAAGCAAGTAAGTCTTTTTAGAACCAAAGTGGCCCCAGCAACGGTGTGGGCCTTACCTTAAATAAATACTCTTCACGTGGCATCTTTTGGACACGTGCAATTGCTCGGTGCATCATTTTCTCACGAAGCATATTGACATTTTCACGTTCAGCAGCTCCTGATCCATCTGAAGCCACAAGCACATAGGTGCTTTCCTCAGCTCGAGCTCTTCCACGGGCCTGGAAGAAAGAAGGTGCTAAAATAAAATATAATGAACTCACATGTAGGAGTTGGGTTTTCCCCCCTCTTTCTGTGGAGGGGTTAAAGAGCTTTGCTGGACTATGAATCTTGATTCCAATATTTATTTGTCATATGCTTTCAGGAAACCCACTAGCAACCCATCAAGACAACAGAAGATGTCCTCCAGTAGTTGGCATATACGGTCTTAATAAATTAAATTTAGCTATTGTTGCTAATAATTACAGATAGGACTATCTTTCTTTAAACAGCAGTTGAAATATGGGGTGGAAGGAGAATTCAGATAAAATGGAGGGAGAGAGTTGCCTGTTTCTTCTGTGCCATCCTAATGATGAGATGGTCTCTCCCTCAACTTGTTATTTGTCCCAGCTGCAAAAATATACAGGTGCACATATCTTCATGGGATGCAGAACATAAGGCCAAATAAATTATATTTGGGCACTTGAGATAAACACCCTGCCTTATTGATAGAATGCAGTTTTTAATGCTTTTTATGCTGCTGTTGAAAGCCACTTTGGTGTTGTTAAGGCAGGTTAAGGCAGCAGGCAGCGATCTGATAAGCTTTGGGGCGAAAAAGTAATTATGGGGTGGGCCAGAACATTACCTGCATCATCGCTATTTCATTGGTAACGAGGCCATAGCGTATAACAATGTTGCACTCTGGGATATCCAGGCCTTCCTCTGCTACAGTTGTAGCAATTAGTAGGTTGATTTTACCAGTACGGAACTTTTCAATGATTTCCTTTTGTTCATTCTGTGGACAAAATGGAATGGAATGACAGCATGTTCAACTTCTCTTACAACTTGAATAATTCACGAAGTGTTTGTCCTCAGATCTCAAATATTATGAACTATGTCTTGAGCTAAAACATAACCAAGCAATTTTTTTACTCTTATATAAAGCTTGCCACAGCAGGAAAAGTAAATTGAATTCAGTCAGTATGGCAATTCCCTCTTTCCAATATGTCCAGATTACCCAAGTACAGTACAGTTGTATCTTGGACTATTATAAATTCTACCTGATTACATTAGTCTGTGTCAATGGGCTGTTATAGCTATAACGTTTCTTAGTTTCTGAAAATTAGTTCTTAAATATTTTAGCAAGGAAGTGACAATCACAGAAACACATGTAATATATACACATGGCATTTGATACAATGATTATTAGTGAATAAACACTCTAGGTCTGAAATTGGATAGGAAATGTAGGAGGGCGCTGTACGTCATATGAAGGATCTGGCAAGACACCCATACTTCACGCTTGACATCCCATCTTACAGCTATTAGCTTTCTAGGTTTGGCATGGTTCAAGTGTGCCACACTTTGGCCTCTTCTACATACAAGGGCAGTGCACATTCTTGTCCCCACAAAGCCATGGGTGTTTCAGAAGTGACTCCAGAAGAACCACTGAGAAGACAGTTTTGTGGTGTTTCCTCTGGAGCTGCAGGGCAGATTGTTTCTCGTTGGTTAGAACTCTTCCTTCATTTCATCTCCTGGGATTTCTTCCCCATTTTCTAAAATCAAGGTGTCATAGATCCTTGCTGCCAGACCCCCTTTTTTGGGAATGACTGGGAATGTGGTTTTGTAGCTACCCTCTTCCACCATCCCTTTTATTTTCTTTGCTGCAAAAGTAGTACACTCCACTGACAGTAATAGGAATTGGAAAGCAGTATGACACTCTGACATCAGAATGACTTGTATGTTTCCACTATTTTTCCAAGACATTCACTGTAGTGTTTGCCTGTTTTTAGGTATGGTAAAATTAATAAACTTTACTGTTTTTAGAAGACAAACAAAGAATGAATTTGATGCTAATCTTGAAATAATTTATCGCAGAATACGTACGTATTTAGGCATATTATAATTCATTTCCTGAAAATTACTCAAACATTAATTAAACCCAATGGGAAAGTGAGAAAAATATAGGAACTCAGGTTAAAAACCCTTCGAGGAGTCTTTAACCCTATACAAGTGAAAAGTGAAAATATGACAATAAACTTGACATTTTTGTTTTACCTGGGTCATAGGCTTAAATTCACTATTATGTCCTGCACCAATGAGGTAGTGAGCCTTCACTCCAACTTCTTCAAATTTGGGATTATCCTTAATCCACTCGTAGATAGCAAATGCACTTTGACGAGTCTTTGAGAAAATAATTCCCCTTGGTTCATTGGTCTTTGTGAATTGTTGCATTAAAGTTGTGCGCAACTTCGTTAGTTTTACATTTTCATATTGTAGTTTTCCAGCTAGTTCTTCCAACTCCCTTTGTTTGGCTTTAAGAATAAGTGTAAATGAACAAAATATTTAAGTAGTTAAGTAAAGTTTTAAAAGAATTAGAGTATGTTGTCAATATTAACCATGCTGGCTGACATTTACATTATTATATGACATTTGTTATAGTCCAAAATATCTGAAGGTGTCAGCATATCATGTTCAAAAGGACCATTCATCATCCATTTTTGGTGTTGAGCATACCAGCCAGCTAGCCCTACATGCTAGCTTTTCCAGAAAGGAAAGGTTGATGTAGGCTGTTTGCTAATTATTCACAATTCCTGTGCAGTTGGCTGATAAACAAACTGTTAACGGGCAAAACCTTAACTCAGGCACAAAACACAGACAGCAAATTCTGGAGGCATCAGCTTGGGTCAAGGTGAAAAACACTTCAGACAGCCACTGTTTTAACATCCCCAAAATGTTTTTTCACAGCTATCTCTGCATGCAGATATTACAGTAGACTTCCTTAGGTACATACAATGTTCTAAGTTCACACATGAAATTTACCAAACCCAAAACAGGAAGGGATGACCACAGACAGAATGTAACTGTCTCTCTACACTCCCTCCCCCAGCCAGAAGAGGTGTATTATTAGACCTTAACCTGACAAAGGTTATCAGGTTTCTTACCTCTAATGTATCTCAATTATAATGTATCACAGGATCACACTTGTTAGGTTATATCAAAGCATGGCAATACAGATATTAATACAAGTAGTCCTTGCTTACCAACAGTAATTAGAACCAGGAACTAAGTGATGTGGTTGTAAGGTGCAACGTCATGTGATTGCATCAACTTATGACAGCAGTTCCGGCAGCTCCAGTTGCTGTCATTAGGTGAATCCTGTATGGTCGCATCTTGTGGTCATGTGATTGTCATTTGTGATCTCCTATCTGCTTCCCCATTGATTTTGCTTGTTGGAAGCCAGCAGTGAAGGTCGCAAATGGTGCTCACGTGACTGTGGGATGCTGCAACATTGTAATTCTGAGCCAGTTGCTGAGTGCCTGAATTGTGATCATGTGACTGTGATTCAGGCTGCGATGGCCGCAACTATGAGGACCCGTTGTAAGTACCCCTCATTCACTGCTGTCAAAAGTTTAAACGGTAACTGAATGAGTGCTCATTCAGTGAGGACTACCCGTAGTGTAATCTAGTCTAGTCTTGTCCAGTCATATTGTAAATTAATCTCAGAGTATATTACGGAACACAATAAGGGAATGGGAATGTTGGCATTTCATGAAAGCTAATTCTAGTTGTTTCTATAGCACTAAGCTTAAAAATAAAATATCCATTCATCCACCTGGCATGCACAAACTTTTTCCAAGTTCTTGGGAAGTGGCATTATGTTTGGACATATGGGATTGACAGAGTTCACAGTATCACGACGCAGTACAGCATGGTGTTGTAGAGCATGGTGGAAGCCATGAGGTAAAAGATTGGATGTCTGAAAGTGTGATAGGCTGTTAGGCTGTGGGAATAACCCTGGGATACAGGAGGAGGAGCCGTAGCCTAGACAATGGTCAGACAAAAGATGTCTCAGCCCACAGAAGGAATAGGGGTGTGGAAAGCATCTCAGAAGGGACCCTCCCCAGTTCTCTGGAAAGTAAAGGCAAGGGAGGGAAGAAGGGCTTTCGGACTTGCAAGATTCTGTTACTGTAACCTTATAATAAAGGTACTGTTATTTCTCATAGTTTTGGTTTCTTGTCTGGACTACCTTGAAGGGCTGACATCTACCTGGGAGCCACACAAATCTTTGAGGAGATTTCTTTTCAGAGGGCAGGTGCTATGTCAGAGAAGGCAAGCTTCTTGTGCCCTGATAGATGCATTGTTTAATTGAGGGGATCCAGAGCATGCCAGCTCTGCAGACTCTTTACTGGAAGGGCAGAAACTATAGGAGATAGATAGTCCCTCAAATAACAAAGCCCTATGCCATGCAGGGCTTTACAGGTAATAACCAGCAACCTGAATCGCACCTGGAAGCATACTGGCAACCAATACAGCTTACCCAGCAGAGATTGATGGAGGCCCTGTTGTATGGACATGTCCTCAGCAAACAGGAGTGAATATATTTACACTGTAAGCAGGCTGTGTAGAACCTAATCCTTAGCTTCCTTTCTGCTTACACAGGGAGCACTTGGTTTATAGTTGTGATTAAATCAGGCTAATAGCCTTGAGAATAAGAAGGCAGCTTGCCTAAATCTCTACCTACAGAACTTTCTAAATCATTCCACCCTTAGTAGCTAAAATAGGGAAGTTTATATCCCAATTTTTGATGAAAACTGTGAGAAATTTTATAAACAACATATGTGAAATGTGATCAAGTCACTAATTATTGAGCTACCCCACTTAATGATCCATCTACAAGGAACAGCTAAATTTTGGTTCTCATTTTAATAGTGTACATTGATTTGCAGAAGTATAGACAGGAAGTCTCAGGTGTCTCATGCTTACCATAAAATAAATCTATAAGAAATGTATCCGTTTCATCCGGTTGTGAGGCTACAAGTTCATCATCTTCATCATCCTCATTCACTGCCATCTTTTTACTCCTTATTTCCTCATAAAAGTTCTTGAGATGGTTATAGGCATCAATCATTCGGATAGTATCATTAATCAGCAAGGCATCGTTGTATTTCTTCAAGTGTTCTGCACATACCCGCTCTTTGCGAGTCCCTTCCTTGGCAGCTAGGGAAAAGAACAAGCACTGGGAAAACTATCAAACAAAGAACGAGGAGAACTGTGCCCATCTATAGTGTCAATGTATTAATCAAATGTAAGCATTACCTTTTTTTTCCTCCTGAATTACCCACTGTTCATAGGTCTGTGATCCAAACTCAGCATTTCGGTTGAATTGGCAATAGCCTTGAATTTCAGTCATAATGTTCACAAGTTTCTCTCTAAATGGATCCTAAAATAAAAAACATGACATTTGTTATGTTCCAATCACATGACTGGAAGGGACCTTGGAAACCTTCTAATCCAAACCAGAAATCCTCACACCGTCTCCTTATGTCTAATTTTTGCTAGAAAAAAACTCCAGTTAAATGGATATTCAGCCAAAATAAGCAGTAAAGCTTTTTTAGTTTCATATCATTGAGGAAAATACTAGAAACACTGTATCACAGCAAACTAACTGCATGCATACATAATTGCAACTAATGAAATTTGCAGAAAGAAACAAAAATATCTCACATTTCAGGATGATCAGTATTAAAAATGAATCAACTTAGCTACTTGAGGGGCAACAATCTTCAATCTCAGAGTCAAATATGACCCTTGAAGAATGTGAACACAGTCAAACACAAGAGGCTGGAGGATGGGAATAACCTCTATTTTCTTGTGCATCATGTTGGGGGGAGGGGGCAGTTAACTGAAATGCTACTGTTAACTCACCATCACTGCTTAAATTCCTCTATGATTAAAAACCAGGTAAAAATCACAATGTAGTACATTGTGCTCAATCCAGAATGGTTCTGAGCAGAGTTCTTTGCTAATCCTGAAGGAAGGTGGCAGGAGGACCATTTGCTCCTATTCCTCTATGTTCCTATGTGCAACCTCTCACATATGTCTGTGTCTTTTTTGCACTTGGGAGTGCAAGAAGAACCAAGCAGGAACCTTGCTTTTTTTTTTAAAAAAAAATTTATTAAAAGGTTTAAACAGGAAGATAAAAAATGAATACAAACTAATATAAAGTAGGAAAAAGAAAAGAAAAAGAAGGAAATCAGAAAGACAACTAAAAGAGCAAGAAAGGGGGAAAAAAGTAAAAGAGAAATAGAAAAGAAAGAAAAAAACCAAAGTGACTTCCAATCTTCTTTACAGCAGTTGTAAATACAATTATAAATTTACTTCTTACTCTAAGGTTACAACATAACTCTCTTCTTTCTATAGTCTATTCTGTCTAATCATCAAAACCATAAATCATAAGTTCATTTTTTTCTATTTTACACAAAGAGTCCATAAGGGGTTATTACAGTATTTCCCTCTTATAATTTCAATATCATTTTCTTTTCTGTTTGTAATTTATATGCGAGCCACTTCCCTGGTTTGTTTGCAAATTTAATTTTTTTTTTGCTTTACATAGTTCATTTTTATTTCCAATTTCTCTTACTGTTAACATAGATAACTGTCATTGTAAAAGCTCAATTTGTTGAGAAATACTTGTCTTCTCTGGAAATTTAATTCTTCTTTTCTCTTTATATCATCCAAAATAGCTTATGTTTACTCTTGACTATTCTTTCTGAGTTCACTATTATGTTGTATAAAATAACCTCTAATAAAAACTTTACTTGAATCCAAAACCATTCTTTAACCAGTACTTTTATCTAAATAATTTTCAAATTATTTTATTTTAATTTATTCAAATTATTTTAATTTCCTTCATTATGTTTTTTTTCTGTAGCAACATTTCATTTAGTCTCCATCCAAAAGAACCAGATTTCCTTTTATAAACCAAAGTCACAGGATTATTATCTGAAAAAGTCTTTGGTGGTATCTCTACTTTAGAAACCTCAGTAGCCAAATTCTTTGAAATCCAAATCATGTCTATTCTTGAAAAAAATCTATGTCTTTCAGAAAAGTAGGTGTACTCTCTTGGATTGCCATTTTTCTGTCTCCATATATCAACAAATCCTAAATTGTCCATCAAATCAAAGAAAACTTTTGGTAATTTGCCTTGAGTGATTTTAATATTTTTCTCAGAAGTTCTGTCCAGTTGTGGGGAAATTACTCCATTTCAATCCCCCATCAAACACCAATTTTCATAAGAAAAACCTTTTAGTCACTCCATACATGACTAAAACATACATTTATCCTCATTTGGGGCATAAATTCCCAGTATCAAAGTCTTAGCCCCTGGAAATTAACTTCCACCCAATAAATCTACTGAGCTCATCAGTTAGTACAAGTTCTGATTTTAGTTGGGGATTTATATACAAAAC